AACTGAATTCATTATGTTTTTAAGAGCCATGACTTATGGACTGAAACAGACCTCCCATTGTTTGACCACAAGATAATACTAATGAGAAATATCTCTCTCGTCCTATGTTTTTAGGGCTATTAGTATTGGTTAGCGATTGCGAGCGCTGAGTGTGTATTGATATTGATTGGCAAAATAGTAATTCAAGAATTAATGCAAGTTTTTATTGACTCAAATTGTTTATGTCAAAATAATGAATAATGTTTAAGTGTAAAGTTTTTAATGTTTAAGTTTTTAGGAGTTCTGGATATTCCACGGAAAGTCCCAAACTGTGATCAGCACTAGTAGCCTACATTCAAATCCTAATTCACTATCCTTTGAGACTGAAAGTTCAGAAAGTTTTTGTCGATCACATAGTAATGAATCCGATTATTTGTATTTCTGTGAATTTGACTTAAAGTTTGGTTTATTAAACAAACTTATAAGTAAAATTTCAATTACTTTTTCCATGAAATTAATAAATTACTAGAAATTACTAATTTAATTGAATTTTTATTCAAATCTAAATTGATATCAAATACACTTATAATTTAAACAATTATAGCATTTCATGTTTCAATTCATTGCTCAATTAACAAGTAAAAGTAAATGAGCAAACAATTTAGTGGTAATTGTTTTATTCAGAGCTAACAATACATGGATTATTAGCAGTCAATTAACTTATGAAATGGGGAGTAACCACTTGACCACTAATTATGGCCGTACTTCTGAAACTCCCACTCCGTGTTGTCCAGCGGACAGACAGCCCGAGTCTTAAGCCATCGGCTGATACAGTGGAAGTGAAAGCCGTGGTTACAGACTCCCTGAGCCACTGTGCACGACTCGGCACCGGGATCACCACCACTGCCGTATTGGGCCTGACATTCAATGCACAACTCCATTATGTTATTACGACAAATGGCACAGTTATCTACCACCACATCCCAGCCCCATTGGGCAACCATATGACATCGTTTTACGATAAATACTTTGTCTGTACGATTAGTACCCGATGTCGGGGGCTGGGACTCAACGTCCATCGGCTCGTTACCATTATTCATATTATCGGCCATTGCTGTCATTTTCTGGATGTGTTTCAATCAATGAATTACTGTTGAAAGGGGTATAATTGACATTAAATGTTAGCCATACTTACGGTTAATATAGTAAACCAAGAGAATAATTAATTGAAGTAACTTATGAACTCAATAGCTTTACATCGGATTTGTATCATAACTTATATGAATTGAGTCTAGCACTCGGTGCGTGTGAAATGAGTTGTGAATGGATTTCGTTTGATTGGATTCAATGAGATAAACTGATATCAAAAGATGAAATGTACTCTACGAGTAGTATACAGTAAAAGTTAATGTAAGCAGAGTTCATGTCATCATTTGGTATATTTCCATCTCATCATTAATGTTGCATTCAATACTAACTATCATTTTTCAATGATATAATTGAGTGAATTTGTGATTTTAAACTATTGAAAGTTTTCAAGTCATGTATACAATTATAATGAATAAAAGTTAAAAACTATAAGTTTATTCAATCGATTCTCTGTGCTTACAAAGTTAAGTTTAATGATACAATTATTATCATTATTAAACATTTGAATTCACACAAAAAAATGTTAATTAGTAATCAGAGTATTGTCTGCATTTGAGCCACGATTGGATCCAATGATGTGATGGCAAAGAGTTAGCATTCGTTTGAATTAAATGTTTGAATAAATACCTACAATCACTTCAATGGTTGTCTTCTGGAGACCAATTGTCAAGTGATGATCCTATCATACAATTGGAGATTATCTGTCAATAAATCAAAAGTTAGAAAAAACAATAAAAATCTTTAGCCCTTTCCCGACCCCATCCACACACTGGACCACTACTACTGGCACTGGTATGTGGAGGACGAAGGGCTCCGTGAATACCAGCCATGATAGCGACCATCCCATCCAGTGTTGACCGCATGTCCACGAAATCCCTGTCCACTCACTCCTATAACAAAATCAAAACGCCAGCCCTTGATATCCCTTACCCGACCCCTTCACATACCGGAGCACTACTCATACAAATACTCCACTCGGGACCATAACCTCAAGGGCTGACCACCAGCTGTTCGTATCCAACGACCAGTCCTTCCCGTGTCTGACCACTCATTGAACGCAAACATCTCTTCCATGTCTTCCGTTGTCTGTAATCTCAGTAAACATAAAACACAACAAAAAAGTTTAGTCTTTAAGTCCGATAGAAGTTGCGATGAAATGCCAACTCTTTGTCGATCACAGCATTGGATCCAACGGTGATTCCAAATGCAGACAATATTTTGCTACTAATTCCTGATATTTGTTTTAAAAGTGTTTTCAATAAAAAATTTTATTTCATATTTACATACAATTCATGGCAACAATAGTAATGAGAATATTCTTACAAAAATCAAATTCAAACAAAATTCTTAACCATTTATATCCATAAGAGTCGCAAAATGTCACAGCAATTGATCCACAAGACTAAAGTTATATTCAAAATCGGCAACTTTTCGCGTATAAGGGACACGAAAGAGATAGTCTTAAGCGATATCTTCAGCATCGGATCCGATAAGTGGGAGATCAGAGTTGACACACATTCAAGAAGTGAGGAATACTTGTCTGTATTTCTATATTTAGTCAAAAGCTATGATACATCAGTTGAAGCCAAATATGATGTCTATATTCTGGACACGAAGTCAGGCCAACCATTTGGTGAAAGAACCTGCAGAAGAGGTCCGTTCAATACAAATGGATTGTCTGGAGGTGTGACTCAGTTTATCAAGTATTCTACACTTTTGGATCAAATGGACATATATCTGCCCAATAATACGCTTACCATTGGTCTCGACATCACTGTCTACAAGACATTAGTTGGCGTTCACTGGACGGTAGGTCTCGGGAACTGCTTTAACGACAAAGACTTCAACGACTTTCGTCTCGTCGTCCGGAATGAAGAGTTCTTCGCCTCGAAAGCGGTTCTCAGCGCCAAATCAGAGGTCTTTTGGCACATGTTTTCAATCGATATGAGAGAGAAGAAGTCAAACATTGTGTTCATTGATGATGTCGATAGAGATGTCTTCGAGGAGTTCCTGAAGTATCTGTATTTCGGGACTTCAGACAAATTGGACGAATTGGCGGAACAACTACTTTACGTCTCCAATAAGTATATGGTTTGGGATTTGAAGACTATTTGCGAGAATCTGCTGTTTCTGCGAATCAATACCACAAATGTCTACAAAATAGTGGAAGTGATGGATGAATACAATAACGAAGAGCTGAGGATGAGGTGCATTGACTTCATTGACCAAAATTGTAGCCAATCTTTGGACAAGATATTGAGTCAACTGTTAGGACATGTTTTGTCACTCCTGAAGAATCTGATCATTGATTTTCTGAGATGTCGTGGCATTCATATAGAGCCCGCAAAGCCTAAGATATGCACACAAATCATGTCTTACACCTATAGTTACTTCGAGTCTAAAGTCGATTATCAATGAATTTGATGATAATAAAGTGAATTTAATAATCAATGAATGGTACCATACTTTAAAATAAACTAAATCTCAATAAATGTTATGTAAATTCAATGGCTTTTTGGTTATTGAGGGAACCGTAGGTTAAATAATATTGAGGTGAATAGGAGTTTTGTGTCATATTTACGAGGCATTCACTTAACCATTGATTGCATTTGTAATTTGCAATTATTAATTAGCAAACGAGACAACAATTAATTTTTAAAAGGTTATGATTTTCCAAATTTAATCATTCAGTAGAGATTTGAGCCAATCATAAATCAGATATAACGGACAGACAGATTGGACTATTTTTTGGCACCAGTAGTCAATAGATATCAGAAACAAATGGTCTGTGTTTTCATTTGATTTTACATTTGATTAACTATTCATTCAATTGAAGGCAAACAACGGCTCGACTCAAAAGGACAGAAATTGGCCGGAAATGCAGTTCTTCTTGAATGAGTCGGTCAGTGATGTGGTGTTTCTGGTCAATGGGCAGAGACTACCGGCGCTGAAAACTCTGCTTATGTTCCGGAGTCCCGTATTTATGGCTATGTTTTCGAGAAACTTCAAAGAGTCTAAAGTCAAGAAAGTGATGATTAAGGAGACGACAGCCGAAGCCTTCAAAGTTATGCTTCACTTCATATACTTTGAAAAACTGGTGATCACTGGTGGTGGCAACGACTTGGAACTGATGGTCAGTGTCTTGAAACTGATGGACAGATATGAATTGACACGACTGATGGCAGCTGCGGAACAGCGTCTGGAGTCAAAGGTCACGGTCGACACCATTGAACTCTTCGGACAAATGGCTCTCCAGTATCAGATACATGGCTTGATCGCAGCGGTGAAGGCTTGCATTGACAAGAATTTGGACCACTTCTTGAGCAAAGACTACAAAGGGTTGAGTCAATTGAATCGTGCGGTCAATGATATGGTGTTGGAGGCGATGGCCAAAAGGATAGGTCGATGCTATCGCTGTACTCCTAAGAAGGTCCACAAAATGGGCTCAACATACGCCCCGATGACTTACTGGTGTATACATGAACACCATTTTGTTTCAGCTGTATTCAAGATTTATTGTTTAACAGTAGTCAATGTTTGCCTCAAATTAAGTACGCGATTAAGTCATTGATGGTATGCTTGTGTAGATCTTAATCTCGTATAATAGGGACGAGCTCTTGGTTTTCTTCGGGTCCACTTTGATGGCCACCTTTTGCCCGGTGCTCACGTCCAGTCCCGCGTAGCATATGCCGTACGCTCCCTTTCCTATCTCCGAGCATA